GGGGGACCTGTCCCCAGGTAAGTGGAGGGTGTCCCCTGGGTTCTGCCTCCCTCGGACACGATGCCCAGACTGCTGTAGGAGCCAGGTGCCATGAGCTCCTCCCACGCCCAGGCCCCGAAGCACAGTCCTGTTTGGGCAGCCCTAGCAGGTATGGCTGCGAGGCCGGGGCCCCAAGGCTGGCAGCAGCTGCCTTCCAGAGGTCCCAGGGGTTCCTGCCTTCCAGGGGTCCCAGGGGTTTGGGAATAGGGTTTGAGTGCCACCTGGAGATGAGGGAAGACTTCTGTTCTCAGCTGCTCCCTGATCCGGGGGAGGCTCCCCACGCTCCTCCATGGGGGCAGAGGAATGGGTGTGGGCAGGCAGTTTCTACCTGATGGCCAGCCGTTCCTGCCTGCTGGCTGCTGCCCTGTGACTTGGCTCTAGGGACCTGATGATCAGACACTGTCACCCTTCCTGCCTGGCCAGTGCTGGGGAGAGGGGAGGAAGAGAGGGGTAGGGTTGGCAACTTGCCCCCAGTTCACATGGCCTGGGAGCCCCTGCCTACACACACACACACACACACACACACACACACACACACACACACACACGGAGTTGAAGATGCCTTCCCAGCATCAGAAGCATAGGCCATAGATCAGCGGTTCTCAACCTGTGGGTCGCAACCCCTTTGGGGGTCGAACAACCCTTTCACAGGGGTCGCCTAAGACCATCGGAAAACACATGTATAATTACATATTGTTTTTGTGATTAACCACTATGCTTTAATTATGTTCAATTTGTAACAATGAAAATACATCCTGCATATCAGATATTTACATTATGATTCATAACAGTAGTAAAATTACAGTTATGAAGTAGCAACGATAACAATTTTATGATTGGGGGTCACTACAACATGAGGAACTGTGTTAAAGGGTCGCGGCATTAGGAAGGTTGAGAACCACTGCCATAGATGATGGTGAAGACCTAGAGGGCCCCTGTCTCACCTCCTTTAACCACCGAGGAAGCTGGTGCTGGAGGCCGGGATGACCTGCTCCAGTCACAGCCACTGCTTGGGGAGCAGGGGCAATGCCCAGGTGGAGGCTGGTTCCTGCCCTCCGTGTTCTTCAGGAGGGGCTGGAGCGTGGCCAAGGACACCAAGTGGGGGGTGTTCAGGCAGGACCAGTACAAGGGGCCAGCCCCAGCGCCTCTCAATCCGTGGAGGGGTCACCCCCCTCCTGGTGACACTGTCTCAGGGGCTATGGGAACAGGTTCCCCTGCCTCCTCCCTCGCGACACCAAGTGGGGGGTGTTCAGGCAGGACCAGTACAACGGGCCAGCCCCAGCGCCTCTCAATCCGTGGAGGGGGTCACCCCCCTCCTGGTGACACTGTTCTCAGGGGCTATGGGAACAGGTTCCCTTGCCTCCTCCCTTGATCCCAGAGCTTCATTCTTAGCTCACACAGTGAAGCCCTGCCCCCCTCTCCCTCCACCCCTCCCCTGCTTTCCAGCCTGTCCTGATTGGGTGCCACTGTCTTCCTGTGCCCCCCTAGTGCCATAGGAGGGGACAAGCCAGGGTGGGGGGAAGGGGGTGCTCAGACCAGAGAAGCGCACTCCTCAGACCTTAGTGAGGGGGCCTGTGGAGGGATGTGGTACCTGCCGTTCAGCTGTACGGGATGCAGTTATTCAGACTACGTGTAAGTCCCTTCTGCTTGCCTCAGCTTCGTCCCCTAACAGAGCAGGGACAGGTCCAGGATGCATGGGGAATCCTTAGCCTAGTCTTAGCGCCCTATCACCAGAGTTGCCCCCTCTGCTGGTGTTTCCTACGAAACAGAGCCCTCTCCATACACTCCCCTCCCCGCCAGGGCTGCGCCTACCCCTCCCTGCTGAAGCCCTGCTCAGCCAACCCGGCCAGCCCCTTAGACCTGCTCTCTGCCACCAAGCCCCAGGCAGAGTGTTTAGAGTCCACACTCACATGCAGGCCTCGGGACACGCAGACTCCCTGAGCCTGGTAGCTGTGGAGCCTGGAGCCTCCCTAAGCGTCAGTCTCTTGACCCATGAAGTGGGTCAATAACCCAGCCCCTTGGGCCCTAGCGAGGCTTGACTGGCATGGACACGGAAGGCACGCTCACTGAGCCTGGGGTGCTTGCAGCCACCCGCCCCAGCCCTGCTCCTGAGTCTCTCCGGTCCTGGCAGCCCCAGGCTGTCCCACCCCACTCACCCTACCCCAGCTTCGATCCTCTCAAGTAGGTCCTTCATTCGACAGATGCGGGCCTCGGAACCAGGGGCTTGAAGGCCCCTCTGTCTGGTGGTGGAACAGAGATGGGAACTCAATCCCAGACCTGGTTCTCTCGCCCCCTCACCCCCACCCTGTACCCAAGGCCCCCACAGCCTTCCCTAAACTTCTGAGAACAGATTCCAGGGTCTTCCTGTGGGAAGGGGGGTGACAGTTACCCTAACCCTAACCCTAACCCCCCTAGGGTGGCGGCACCATCTGGGCAGCTGGCTTCTCCCTAAGCCTAAGCACTAAGCTTCGCTCACCTAAATGCAGAGCCCCCAGCAGCTCACACCCCGCCCCCCGCCCCAGCCCTGCAGAATTTAGGGGAAATGAACCTGTTAGCGCTCCTGGAAAGCTGCACTCGGCCACCATGTCACACTCTGCTCTCCCCTCCTCATCTAGGTCATCTCCTACTGGTCTCCCCACCCCTAGCTCCCTCACTCAGCGCTCTCCTTCACGGCAGGTTACAGTCACCTTCCTGGATGGGCCCAGCCCGGGGCCTGCATCCTGCCTCCCTTTTTGTACTGTGGACTCCCTAGTCTCAGAGTCACCTTGGCATTGCCCATAGCTGCTGCCAAATTATCCTTCTTGAGTGAGGAAAGGGAGAGAATGGTCTCTAGAACTAAGCGTGCCCTGCACTCCTCTGAGGCCTCAGTTTCCTCGCCTGTAGAATGGGCACCCAAGCCCCTGCAGAGCAGGCTTCCCTGCTCCCCGCCCCCCCTCCCCGCAGCGCAGAGGACAGCAGGCAGGCAGGTGGGGCTGACTCCGGGTTGGGGTCCAGGGACCTGTTTGTCTTTTTCCCTGAAGGGGAGTCGCCTCTTTGGGATCTTTTTCTTCATGATCAGCCCTTCCCTGTTCATTTCTCTTGAGTCATCCTAAAACTGGTGTGACTTTTCAACTTTTTGTAAAATTAAAAAAGGAGCTTTTATTGTTTGTTTGGATGCCTGTGATGACTTGAAACTGACACTTTAGGAAACATGTAGCTAACTAAAAATAAAGCAACTTCAATATTTTTCATAACTTTTTTGTAACTTTACCAAAATCACTTAGAAACTAACATTACATATTCATCTGAGGTTCAGCCTCACCTGATTTCGCTTCATTGCTTTAATTCTGCTAAATTCAAGCAAAATTAATTGTAATACATTTTATTTTTTTTAAAAAAAACCAGTTAAAGTGGTTACCTTGGAGAGTTTGAGATATGTTTTTGTTAAACTGTTCTGTATTTTTCAAATTTCCTACCCAAAATAGGTAAGCTTATAATCAGAAAAAGCAATGGCTGTATGAATCCACAGTGGGGGGCTGGGGACCATGTAGTAACTGGAAACTGCTGTGTAGACTTCAGTGATGAGCAGAAACCAAGCTCCTTCCCCAAACAGTTGTTAAAACCGAGTAAGTAAGCACAGCCCCCAGGAGCAGCCTCCCCACCTTGTTAGCATCAAGTGATGAGCAGAAACCAAGCTCCTTCCCCAAACAGTTCTTGTCAAAACCGAGAGTCAGTAAGCACAGCCCCCAGGTGTAGCCTCCCCACCTTGTTAGCATCGGCGTGCCTGGGCGTGGGAGCCACGTGGGGAGCCGGGAAATGAAGGCTCCGGGCCTGACGCAGCCTGAGCAGCCCAGCTCCTGGAGCTCAAGGGACAGAAACAGTTTTCATGCTTCAGCCCCTCAAGTGAGGGCTTCAGCTTCTGTGAGGATGTCATTTGAGGGCTGGGCTATTGCAAAGCAGAATCTCAGGGACGCTGTGTGGAACGAGTGGGGGAGCTCACGGCAGCAGAATCTCTAAGCCGGAGCTTGTGGGGTTGGTGCTGCTGCTGCCCTCACACCCCCTCTCCACTTCCTGTTGCTTGGGCACCCCTGCCACATGCTAAACCTACCTACCTCGGCAGGACCCAAGGCCCTGCAGGCCCAGATGGCAGTCACCACCACGTGTGGCTACAGACCACCTGACACCAGCTGGGCCACCGAAAAGCTGAACTTGACACCATTTAATTTAGCAAATGAAATAAAATTTATGCCTGGGCCATTGCCAGCCTGTGGTGTGGCATGCTAATTTTTCAGGAACATCTGGGGAAAGTCTTAGTAAAGAGAAGCAGTTCACCGACCTAAAAAGCTTCTTCCCACACTCCCTCCCTCCTAGTTTATTTAGATTTTCCCCTAAAACTTTTAACTTTTTAATATACAAGCAGTACATGACCACTGTAGTGAAACTGACAAATTCACCAGGAGCCAGCAACCAGAAAAGGCCATGTTCACGTTGCAATTCACACAGCCTGTGGGTTTTTTTTACATTCCCATGTTCTTTATAATAAAAGCCAATGTTCATAACCTGGATTAGCACACACCCCCACCGGGCCAGCCTGGCCTCTGAGCATTTCTCCCCACGCCCTCCTCGCTTTGGAGCGAGCCCTGGAACCCCTCTGCCCCGTGGCCCACGCTCAGGCCCTCCATCCGGATCCGTGTAAATGGCTCAGCCCGACCTGCTCTCTGCGGACAAATCCCTGCACAGCTCCTGCCTCTCCTCACTCACTGCTCTGATGTTTTTCTTGCCTGTTTATTTGCGGAGCATGAGCTCCAGCGAACATAAGCTTCTGCACCCCCTGCACATGCGGGATGAAGAGGGCTCAGCCCGCGGGGACTGAACCAAGGAGTGAAGTCAGGTTCTTCTTCAGGGAGGAGCCTCGGGTCCGCCTGGGCCTGCTGCTGTGGGGGCTGGGAGAGGAGGATGTGGGGAGCCGAGGAGGGTGCCGGGGTCCCTGGTTCTGCCTGGCTGTCAGAGGCTGCGGTGTGGTGGTAGGGGAAGCCCCTCAGGTTGCTCTCCCCACCTTTTATCCAAACATGGGCCTCCTCGGGACAGGAAGTCCAGGCCTCCCCCCCGTCCCTCCACCACTGCCAGCTCCATAAAGGAGTCATGTGCGATGAAGTCGCCCAGGCCTGGCCCTGTCCTCAGACTTGTACCCGAAACAGTGCAGAAAGAGGCAGCACAGGTGAGGAGCACCAGGTGCTGTGGTGCTGCCTGGGGAACGGGGCCCCTAGGAGCGAGGCCTGGAAGCTGGGGAGATGCTAACAAGAGCCCCGAGGTGGAGGAAAGCAGCAGCCTCCTTGTCAGTGAGAAGGCGGGACCAGCCTTGGGCACTTCCCTGTGATCCACTTGTTGGAGACAAGCTGAGGAGTCGGGGCCAGATGATGGCCTTGAAGGACAGCTGGAGTGACTTCTGACACACTGAGGCTACATCCTGTCCCGAGGCTCTGCCACCTCCAGACATGTTCAGGGTTTCTTTAAGACGCATTGGAAATAACCCTGGGTTCTGAAGGGGGCTGTGTGGGTAGGGACAGGAACTGTATCTAATCCATCATTGTAACACCCCCCTCGCCTGGTCCTCAGGGCAACCATGGGGATTCACAAGAATTGCACTGGGGGGGGAGGGCTGGATGGGCCAGGGAGGGTGAACAGGAGAGCAGAGGGTAGGTGGTGAGGGCAGGAGGGATCGGTGAGGGGAGGGCAGATAAGTGACGAGCTAGACAGGCTGGGGACCACACTGGGAGCAGAGAACTGAGCACCAAGGTGTGAATCATGACCCTGGACCAAGGGCCCCACTAACAACAATGTTCTTGCCTGGTTCTGTGTTTCTCTTTCAGATGTTTGTTCCCAGACCTTTAACTCAGGTGTGAAGCCAGGATTTCCCAAAACAATCAAGACCAACAACCCAGGAGTCCTCAAAGCAGCCAGATACAGCGTTGAAAGGTTCAACAACTGCACGAATGACATCTTCTTGTTCAAGGAGTCCCATGTCAGCAGAGCCCTGGTCCAGGTGAGGGTCTAGGCGCTGGTGGCCAGCATCTCTGGGGCCAGGCTGCAGAAGCTCCTACCCCACAGGGGCCCACCGTCCAGCGCCCTGGTCATCTAGAGCACAAAACAGGCCAGGAGGCTAGCAGTGGCAGCCACAGAGAGCCTACAACCAGGCCACCAGTGTCACCAGACTTGAACAAAAAGTCCAGGACTGTCTCTTATGGAAACCAACTTCTTCAGGGTGGAGCCACTGGGAGTAGCACAGAGGTGGGATGGGGTGAAACGGGGACTAGACGTGAGCCTGCTGAAGGCTTTGGGTGGGGAGAAACCAGAAGCTGGGCATCAGGAACCAAACTGATGAAGATGCTGCCCCTTGGAGGGGCCTACTGCACCACCTGCCACAGTTGCCCCTGCCTAGGGCCCCACCCCTGCCTCACCCCCTCACCAGAGCCACAGCCCCATAGGACCTTTTGACGTTCTCCACCACAGTTGCCCCTGCCTAGGGCCCCACCCCTGCCTCATCCCCATAGGACCTTTTGACATTCTCCGCCTGGGACTTATTTCACATAAGAGCTTTGCCCAAAATGCACCCCTCCCCCACACACACACACAAACCCCCCCCTCCACCAGCCTTGCCTCAATGTCACACCCTGTGAAGTTGTCACAGGATGGCTCAGCTACCTCCCACCTAGAGGGGACTCTACAGGGCAGAGCCAGGTTTTGCTCATCTGTGTCCTGAGGACACAGGGTCAGCTTGGGATAAGGGATGCAGAATAATGATGAGCCACAATGACGACGTGACTGCCCACGTCTCTGCCTTTCCTGAAACCAGGGATACTGTACAGGCACTCAAAAGGAAGTTCCCGGCTGTGGGAAGCTGGCTTTTGGACAAAACCCACACATTCCCATGGGTGTGGTGGTGCGGGAAGGAGGAAAGACGCTGCCAGTTTGTACATAACTATTAATGGTTGGTTACCTTTGGTCACAGAATTACAGGTGATTTTTACAACCGTGTTTATTCTTTTGGGCAATTGCAAACTTTTTAAGAGCAGTGTATTTTTTTTTAAGATTTTAAAAATTGATTTTCAGAGAGAGAGGAAGGAAGAGGGAGAACGAGAGAAATATCAATGCAAGAGTGAAACATCAATCAGCTGCCTCCTGTACACCCCCTACCAGGCATGTGCTCTGACCGGGAATGGAACCGGCAACCTTTCGGTGCCTGGGATCACGCCCAACCAACTGAGCCATGCTGGCCAGGGCGAGCAGTGCCTTTTTATGCTTAGAAAAGTATTTTCTAGAAGGCAGTCTGGTGTGGGAAGGGTTTTTAATAAGGTTTCCATGGAAATAGTCCGAGTGTCATCACTCCAAGGACACAGCTCCGGAGACGGTGTGAGGCCTCCTGCAGGACCACGGCAAGTGCAAGATGCCCAGAGCCGAGTGCCCAAGAGCCTTTGGGGGAAGGGGTGCATTGTCCCTCCGTGACGTTGGGGACTGGATTTCACTTGGTACGTGGTGGGGCCAGACCAGGTTGCTGCCACATCCAAGTGAAGAAAGGCTGTAACTGAAAAGAAAATGCCCACTCTGTTGCCAGGAATGGTGAGGAGCCAGCAGACACACTGCTTGCCCTCACCCCATGTAAAGGCCACACAGGGCAGGTGATTGTGGGTGACTAGGGCACGGGAGAGGGGCCGGGGGCAGGACTTCACCACGGCCCTGAGGCCAGGGCAGCCCCACGGCACCCCGCCTCTGCCACCCTCCTGATGCCCAGCGGAGAGACCTGGGGAGGAAGGAGCTGTCCTAAGACAGGACACAGAGCCCACGTTTCGCCCTGGAACCAAGAGCTAAGGCCCTGAGCAGGAATGAGTGGAGTGAAGAAAGGAGAGGACCGGGAGGGGTCTGGGTCCAGTCACAGGCTTTCTTCCCACTGCGGTTCGAGTATGTTCCACATTCCCTCTCCACCACTCACTCCCTTTCCAGAGGGCAGGGAGGGACCAGTCCCATCAGGGCACCCTCACCACCTGTCCTAAAGCCCCCTCCTGCTGGGTTGAACAATGTAACCCAGGCCCTGCCCTCTGCTCTCTTTAGATCGTGAAAGGCCTGAAATACATGCTGGACATGGAAATTGGCAGAACTACTTGCAAGAAAACTGAGCACCCCAATCTGGACAACTGTGACTTCCAGACCAACCACACCTTGAAGATGGTAAACAAAGGGGCCTCGCTCCTCAGACCCCTCCCTGCTTTCCTAGCCCCACCCCCTCGCCATGGCTCTGGGAAACACTCCTTCATCCTTTCTCTACCCCCACAGTTCCAGATTTCACTCTTGAATCCAGGTCTCCCAGTGTCCAACAGGATCCTACAGACACGGCAGGCATACAGGGGAGACCCCCTCCTCAGAGGCGCGTCCACATTCGGGGGCAGGTTAGAGCAAAAAAAGACCTTTCAAATAATTCAGAAATGTATATACACAAGCAGGGGGAAACTAAATGCGGCAACATTTAAGAATTTGTAACTATAGGCAAAAGTATATGTTCTTGAATTATTCTTTCAATGTCTGTAGGTTTGACATTTTTTCACAAGGACCCTCAGAGCAAGGAGAGAACTCCTCAGTAAGGAAAACGCACAAGCGTGCACACACACGTGCACACACACATGTATGCGCACACAGGCAGCAGCACTGGAAACTGCAGAGCTGTGAGTGGCAGCCTCGGCGAGGCAGGTGGTCCCTGTGGCAGGCAGCGCGATTCTTAAGGTGCCCTTCTTTGTTTCAGATCCTCAGTTGTTACTCTGAAGTCTGGGTCATCCCCTGGCTCCAGAGGTTCGAGGTGCCTGTTCTCAACTGTCACTGACTGCCTCTCAGCAATACTACAGCTGCTGGCACCTTTGAAGTAGTATCTCCCGGCAAGCAGAATGGAAGTGCCCACGAGCTCATTACAGAGTAACTGGGATGGAAGAGTGACCGCCCCACAGTTAAAATAAATACTTCGAATTCTCTCCTAAGCTAATTCTGCTGATGCTGTGTGCCTGGATTCAGAGTCTGAACATACAGGACTGAATCCTCCAATGGAAATGTTTTGGGCTCTCAACTCCTGAAGGAGCCCCTCCCACCCAGCCCCTGGGTCCCCGATGCAAGCCCGAGATCTATCCTTTCATCTGAATACTTGCACACTGGACGAAGCGGGTAAGCTGCTATTGAGCACCTTGACCTTGCATGGATGAAGTTATAAATAAACATGAATAAGAACTGACCATCTCAAAGCAATGGCTGCTGCTTTACCTGTTACAGGGGCCTCAGGAAGGTGAGGTGGGCGGTAAGGGGCCCCCTCACTGAGAGCCTGACCGGTCCAGGTAACTTCCACAAAGCGCCCAGGGCTTTCCAGCCTTTAGTCCATAAACACAACATACTGGAGACCAGAGAGCCAGAACCAGGCCAGCGTAGGTCCATACCATGAACTGGCAGGGTAGGGGCACCCCAAGAGGGCGTCCACCTGCCAGCTGTGCTTCCTTCTGACGGGGGATATCCACTCAATCCTCTCAGCTGCCTTAGAGACTCAGCAAACGCACAGCTGTGTCTGGACAAGTGGGTACAACAGGGTGCTGGGATAATATCCCACACATCCCCACCCAGGAGGAGCATCGCCCACAGAGATTCAACTAAGAGAGGGAGCACCCCCACTCACAGACCCACACCCATAAGGGAGAGCACCCCCACATACAGACCCACCCAGGAGAGGGAGCACCCCCACACACAGACCCACCCAGGAGGAGCATCCCCCACAGAGATTCACCTAAGAGAGGGGGCACCCGCACCCATACAGACCCACCCAGAAGGGAGAGCACCCCACATACAGACCCACCCAGGAGATGAGGCACCCACACACAGACCCACCAGGACAGGGAGCACCCCCACTCACAGACCCACCCAGGAGACAGAGACCCACACACCCAGACCCACCCAGGAGAGGGAGCACACCCACACACAGACCCACCAGGACAGGGAGCACCCACACACATAGCCTCACCCAGGGGACAGAGACCCCCACACACAGACCCACCCAGGGGACAGAGACCCCCACACACAGACCCACCCAGGAGAGGGAGTACCCACACACAGACCCACCCAGGAGAGGGAGTACCCACACACAGACCCACCCAGGAGAGGGAGTACCCACACACAGACCCACCCAGGAGAGGGAGTACCCACACACAGACCCACCCAGGAGAGGGAGTACCCACACACAGACCCACCCAGGAGAGGGAGTACCCACACACAGACCCACCCAGGAGAGGGAGTACCCACACACAGACCCACCCAGGAGAGGGAGTACCCACACAAAGACTCACCCAGCAGAGGAAGCACCTACACACACAGACCCACCACTGGGGGCACAGGAGGAGACCACCCAGGGTCCGTGTAAGGCAGGCCTCGCGCTCACACTGGAAGGGTGTAAGACTGGACCACAGAGCAGAAGCCCAGGACGTGCCAAAGGCTGAGAGCTCCGAGGCCTCACTCAGAGATGCCCCAGACACCCCGCGCCAATAAGCCTGGTGCAGATGCAGGCCCCCCTTTGGAATTCTTCCTCCCAACGCCTTCTTCAAACTATGGGCTGGTACAAAATATGTTGTCGCCTTTAAAAAAATATATGGACCTGATCATTCATAGGAAAAAGGAAATCCACATTAAATATGTATGGCAATTGGCACACGTCATAGACTTGATCAGTGTGAATAACCAAAAGGAATGACCCACAGCTTCCTTCAGTGATGACAGAAAACTATGATTCCAAATCCTCAATGTTTTTTGCTGCCTTGATGCACCTCCTTCTGGTCTAATTCAGGGACAGGGGTAGCAACTATGTCACAAGACATTTAATTTATCCTATGATTCCAAAGGCCCCTGAAGGCAATCCTTTCATAAAGAAAAGCGAGTTCACTCAGTGCTGTTGACCCCCTACATCAGTGGTTCTCAACCTTCCTAATGCCGCGACCCTTTAATACAGTTCCTCATGTTGTGGTGACCCCCAACCATAAAAGTATTTTCGTTGCTACTTCATAACTGTAATGTTGCTACTGTTATGAATCGTAATGTAAATATCTGATATGCAGGATGTATTTTCATTGTTACAAATTGAATTAAAGCATAGTGATTAATCACAAAAACAATATGTAATTATATATGTGTTTTCCGATGGTCTTAGGCGACCCCTGTGAAAGGGTCTTTGACCCCGAAAGAGGTCGCAACCCACAGGTTGGCGACCCACAGGTTGAGAACCTCTGCCCTACATGAACAAGATGGCAGGAGCACCAACCCCTGGAGCATAAGCCGGGTGGGCTTCAGAACGTAGCTCAGGGGGGCCTTTGTGACTTGTGCAAGATAATGCAGCAAATGAGGAGGACCCCAGATCCTGAGCTCCCAGCCAGTCCTCACTTACACTTAAGTACAGACCAGAGCTCATCAAGGCCAGGCCTGTCCTAAAATTACTCAGACCTCGAGACAGCCCCACCCCACTGGTTTAACAGGCAGGTCAGAAATGAGAACTCACGCGAAGGAAGCTGTTGGGGAGAGCTGCCTCGCAGCCTCACAGCATACCTGCTAGGAGCTGCATGTGAACCCTCTTTCCCCGCCTCTCCTCCCCACCGCCCCTGCCCAGCCAGAAGACTATGGGCTAACCTTCCTTCCTGGCAGGGAAGAGAAAGCCTCAAACCCCATCTCAGTGTGAACCCTCTTTCCCCGCCTCTCCTCCCCACCACCACCCCTGCCCAGCCAGAAAACGTATGGGTTAACCTTCCCTCCTGGCAGGGAAGAGAAAGCCTCAAACCCCATCTCAAAACTCTCTTTGAACCCTAACCTATACCCATGATATTCACACTACCACTTGGGTCCAGGAATTGACTGCCTCCTATAAGTTGACAAAGTCTTAGAACTATGGTAAACCAGCCAAGACAGAAGCCAGTGGACTATGTACCCCAACCTCAGGCTTCTGCAAACCCTCCCTCCCTGAGGTCCTCAGGGCCCGAATTCCAGGTAGAAAGGGGCTCTACTTTATAATGCACCCACAGTTCTATCATCCCCAACACTGTGTTATACACAGTGTCCCTCACAGAAGTAATTGCTTGTCTTCAAATACTCTTAAACCTCCCATGGTGACACCATAAGGAAAGGGGCTGGGTGGCAAGCCAGGGTGAAGCTGCCTTGTAACTTGGAAATCAGCAGCTGGCGTACCTTTGTCGCCCCCGCCAGAGATGTGTCTACTAAACAAACCCCTGGAGACATTTTGCCCCAGCTTCCTGGAGAGCAGGCATTGCAGGGGCTGGGTGGCAAGCCAGGGTGAAGCTGCCTTGTAAGTTGGAAATCAGCAGCTGGCGTACCTTTGTCCCCCCTAGAGATGTGTCTACTAAACAAACCCCCGGAGACATTTTGCCCCAGCTTCCTGGAGAGCAGGCACTGCGTGCACTGACTGTGTGGGCTCCGCCCAATGTTCCCATCCTCCTAACTCTGACCACGGTGAGAGACTGTTCTCTCGGGATTCAGCACAGCAAAGCCCCACCGGGAAGGAGCCAGAGAGCCCTGCAGTGGGTTCAAACAGAGGAAACCAAGCCCCACATGGAGACAGTGTACTGACTGCAGGTGGCGGATGTCAACCAGTGACCTCAAGTCCTGAATTGTAAACCCAACTCTACCTGTTTTTAAAAACTCATCAGCTTTACTCTGCCTCAGAGGAAAACTGTACCATCATCTGATGGTATTGTCATGGAGAACATGCAAAGTTAAGTGCCCAGTATTCTAAGACACACTAGAACTATGACCAAAAAGAAGCACTTTCTCAAAACCATCAAAATTCTGTCAGTCCTGTCCTAAGTGACCTAGCTTTCCCTGGCCACGGCCCTCCACCCTCCTCCCCAGGTGCCCCCTGCTCCAGACATTCACGCAGCCTGGGCCTCTTGAGGTTGCAGATAAGCTCAGACTGTGATGAAAGTCTCACCAGTACCCATGGAGACCACCTCTGGAAGTGTAAACCACAATAATGCCCAGTCCACCCAGGGAGCTGGGCAGCCCAGGGAACTCTGCCCTGCAGCCAGGATCTGACCCTCAGGCTGGGCGGTGGCCACCGCAGAGCCAGGCCCTCAAGCCACCCAGCCTCGTCTCCTAGCTTCCCCAGCAGATTCCACAGTCACAGAACAGATCCTGGCTCAGTTGTGTGCTGGCTGTGACTCTGGGCAAGTCATTTACGCACCAGCCTCAGCTCCTACCTGTAAAATGAGGCCCTATCTCCTTGCATCATTAAAAGGTCCGAGTACATGAAAACACTTTCTAAACTGTAGACCATTCTGCAAGTGTATAGTCATAATAAAAATATCAAAATGGGTCTTCTGTCCTATAAAAAGCAGTAATGAGCTGGAATGGGGTTTTTATGATAGATAATAAAGAAGCACACAGTGAATGAACAACTTGATTTAATTTTAAAACCATGTTAGTAATTCACATTAGAGCAAATCCATTTTGTTTACAATAAAAGCGTATCACATATTCAAACCTAATAAGGTTATATTTTGCACCTCACCATGGCAAACTACCGAATAAAATACAGGAAATGACACTTTGAGACAAAAACTCAACATCTAAATCAAATCAAGACTCCTTTGCTGAAAACTGTGAAAAGCAATTTACCAGCTTCTTTGTAACATTAAAAATTAAGCACTAAAAGCAAAGCCCTTTCTTCTCATTCAAGAAGTCTACTTAACACCCAGCTGGTGTGGCTCAGTGGTTAAACGCCAACCCATGAACCAAGAGTTCCCTGGTTCGATTCCCAGTGGGGGGTATGCTGGAGGCAGCTGATCGATGTGTCTCTCTTTGATGTTTCTATCTCTCTATCCCTCCCCTTTCCTCTTTCTCTAAAATCAATTAAAAATATTTTTTTAAAAAGACATCTACTTATTTAGGCCCCAAACATTTAAATTGATTTTTGTGGCAGAACGACAAGGTTTTACCCCATTATTCTTATATACTTGCTATACGGGGTACAACATTATCTATTTAAAATATTTAATAATCACTACTCAATTTCCTTTCCTATAAAGTTACATAAATAGTAAGTCATTCATCTGAGACAATACGGGTTGCACCACCTAGACTGAAGCCAGTCTTTGACTCGGTTCTACTGTTGCTGCATAAAGCCGGCCGGAGGAGGGTGACAGAGATGAGGCCACCGCTAGACTCCGGACTTCTTTCCCCCGAAATCAGGCTGATCAGGGCATGGGCGGAGCTGGCTACACTGGAAAAGGGAGGGAAGGGGTTGGAGGCCAGCCAGTGTGACAAGACACAAAGGTTCAGATTTCACCACAGCTCTCAATCCCCGTTGAACTGTATCATTACCTATTAAAATACTGTCCAGTCAAGTTCTTAAAAACTATCCCAGAAGCCCAAACTGTCCTTCAGGACATTTCTTCAGAATCAGGTATCAGCCCCACTCTGTAGGTTGGAAAACAGGGAGCAGTGTGCTATCAACTTACCCAAGAATGAATCAAGGCCAGAGGCAATGGCCTGAGGCCGCTGCTGCCCTCTGAGGGGTCCCCAGAGGAACTGCTTGACCCTAAAACAAGATCCCAGCTAAAACGAT